TTTCACGAAACAAATGGCGGCTTTCGCTTTACTATAAGTGCTGTGGCATGAAACAATCAGCTGAAGGACTGACCAGTTACATATCTCAACACAAATATGTAAAATGAGACGAGAAAAACGATATTTGTACTCCAAACTGATGGAATATCTATAGTTCCACTTCTTAATCGGGAACATAATAAATTAGTAAAAGGAGAAGTTAGCATTCCGTGAAGAGGTAGAAGCTTCCCCTCCGTCCTCCACAAAAAATTACCTCTTTCAATAAACTAAAGTTAACTGGGCTAAGGTGAGTGGAAGTAAAATATTTAAAATTATGTTCTTTATTGTTGAGATTAAAGACAAAAAAAAAAAAAAAGTTATAATTTCTATCCAACCTGATCAAATCAAAGTTATACAAATCAAAATCAGAACAAAAAAATTGAACTATACCAAATTTAATTTAATATGGTATTAATATTTTAATAATATCGACAATACCAAATCAAATATTTAAAAATAGCACTAACTTAAAGGGGTGCAAGAACTCGTTCAATTTAATTTTGTTACCGACTAGAACAATGAAACTGGGCTTGTTTGCTACATTTGTGAAACTACGAGGGCTTATTTGCTCTTTTGTTGTAATTATTCCACCCCTCTTCTCGTGGTCTGATTCTGATATGAAGTGGCTTGATTGACATTTGCCGCCGGTGACTCCAAGCTGTCGGTGTTCTCCGGCGAAATCGACAGTCAACCTCCTTCCTCTCCCTCTCTGTAAACAATGGATCAATCTTTTCTCTTGATGCTAACAAATCTTCTTCACCTACAGAACCACCTCGACCCTACCACCTCCATCCTCTCCGATTCCAGTTCCTCTTATTCTTCCTCCATCTCTTCACCCACCTCCCCTACTTCCCTACTCACCTCCACCTCTGCTGCCCCTCTCCTCTTCTTCACCATCGCCTCTGTTCTCTCTTACCTCGCCACCCACCACTCACCCAACAAAAAACCCAAAACTTCACCTAATAACGACAACAACAACCCCTCTTCTCCGTCTCACGCCGCCGCTGCCGCCGAATTCTCCGTTTCTGCCTTCCGTGCTCTCTCCACTGAACACATTTGGGCCATGGAAGCTCCTCTCCGTGACGCTCAGTGGCGTTCCCTTTACGGCTTATCATATCCAGTTTTCACCACCGTTGTCGATAAGCTGAAACCCTACATTACCCAGTCCCAACTTTCTCTCCCGTCTGATTACGCTGTTGCTATGGTACTTTCTAGGCTCTTCCACGGCTTTTCTGCTAAAACCCTAGCTACCCGTTATGGTCTTGAACCTTACCTGATCTCGAAAATTACTAACATGGTCACCCGCCTCTTGGCTACTAAGCTTTACCCTGAATTTATCAAGATTCCGGTGAGTCGCCGCCGTCTTGTGGAGACCACTCAAGGGTTTCAAGAGCTGACTTCACTCCCTAATATATGTGGAGCTATTGATGGAACGGCTGTTAGGCTGCAGCATCTTCCGTCAGACACTGTTAACTCTTCTATGTACTTTAGTAAATATGGATCCCCCTCCGTATTGCTTCAGGTTGTTGCTGATCACAAGAAGATATTTTGGGATGTTTGTGTGAAAGCCCCGGGTGGATTTGACGATGCTACGCATTTTAGGGATAGTTTGTTGTATAATAGGTTGATTTCCGGTGATATTGTTTGGGACAAAGGGGTTAATGTTAGGGGACAACATGTGAGGCCTTATATTGTTGGGGACTGGTGTTTTCCTTTGTTGTCTTTTTTGCTCACTCCGTTTTCATGGAATAGGACTGGTTCGCCTGCTCAAAACGCGTACGATGAGGGCTTGATGAAGGGGAGGAAGATGGTTGAGGAAGCTATAGGTTTGTTGAAGGGGAGGTGGAAAATTCTTCAGAATTTGAATGTGGGACTAAGTCATGCACCACAAACGATTGTTGCTTGTTGTGTGTTGCATAACTTGTGTCAGATTGCGAGGGAGCCGGAGCCGGAGCTTTGGAGGGAGCCAGAAGAGAATGGTTCCCCTCCAAGGGTGTTAGAGAACGAGAAATCATTCTATTATTATGGCGAAAGCTTGAGGCAGGCCTTGGCTGATGATCTATATCAACGCCTATCTTCGAGATGAAAGAATTTACCAGGAGGGGGAAATCTTCTAATGCTTGCTTTGATGTAAGGATAATTTTACTACTTGTTAATTCTAGTTTTTGGTTCATGCTAGCTGATATTGCTCTTTGACAAACCTTAAGGGGTAGGAAAGATCCTGTTTTTACTGAGCAGTACCTGTAGTCTAGTTGATAACCTTGAGCTACCTCAAGGATTCGGTTTGTTTGATTCCTGTGAGGCATAGGTGCTGCTTTTTAAATCTTATGTTGAATGAAAAAAATAGAAAGATCTACGTCTTTTCTGTAGATCAGTGAGATATGTGGCTTTATGCTGCTACAATTTTCACCTTGTCTAATTGTTAGTTTGAGTTATGACCTTCTGATTGCGCAAATTTCTGGATTTACCAGCCTCAAAGAACGGGATCCCAGATCATCAACCTAATGCAAACTTGTGTTCTTTTTTGCTTCCTTTTCTGAGGACGGTGGTGTCTGGACCAGCTTGCTCGCTATATACTTTTTTTCTTTTTCTTTTAGTGACAATGATCGAATTGCTTCCACTTTGGCCCATGCTTCAGTCGTCCTTAGCTTTTGAATGCATGAAAAACTGCTCATAGACAAGTCCTTTAGCATTGTATCAGCTACAATACTGAAATTAAGTGTGAGCTAGAATGGAAATTTTTCTTCCTCAGCAAAGAGATGCGAAACTTGGTGCAACTCAGGTGTTGCATTCCTTCTGGTTCACATTAGTTATTCTAGCTGGGTTTATTCAATGTTATTGTCTTATTGAGAATCCGATACTTACCTAAAACTTTTGTCAAATTATTCTTACCTAAACATCAGAAAAAGTAAAAACTTAGAGGCAATGTGCTGTTCTTGTATGTATGTTCCAATATGTTCAATAGGAACTGTTTCTTTTCCAAGTGCCATTTGTTACCCTTTTTATCAGGAAGTGCGATTTGTGACTTCCTATTGTTCTCCTTTGTTTATGATTCTTAGAAGTTAAAAAGTTGTGTTGAACACACTGCGAACTGGAAAGAACGTCTTCAAAAGAGAATGGTTCCCCTCCAAGGGTGTTAGAGGATGAGCTACACTCTTTGAACCAGATAATGTTTGGGTTTTAAAATTACACGTCTCATTTTCTTTGATATATTGTTGATTAACCTATTCATCATATAGGACCTGACAGTTTGGTTTTAAGGCAAGTTTAAGTTGGATTTCCTGGTCAGAAGTCAAAAAAGAGATTTGAATTTGCTTTTCAATTCTGTAATATGTTGAATCAATTCTTGCTTTTTATTTTTTTATTTTATTTTTGCCCTTTTTTTTCTTGGGGGTTAGGGAGTTGAGGCCAGGGACCTAATGCAGTTGCCGGAAGTGGGAAATGTCTGTTTCTACTTTCTGTTGACATGCTTCAGATATAGACAATGTAATTCAGGACATTGTTTGGGAAATTACAGTTAGGTACTCGTATTAGAAAGAAGTAAAGGAAGCATGTGTCAACGTGCTTGCTGGAATTTATCCCTACCATTATATTATCTGGTCAAATTTATCCCTACCATTATATTATCTGGTAACATAAAAATTGGTTCGGAAAAAGCTTGGCTTTTATAATGAAGTGTTGTTATATAGGGATGGTGTTATAGAGATGTCTTACTGTACCGGAAACAATAACGCCTGGATTTATTTATTTTTCCTAAAGAAAAAGAAATAGTTTTGGGAAAAGGGCCAAATATACCCTTCTACTTTCAGATATTGTCTATATTTGACCTTCGTTATATTATCTGGTCAAATTTATCCCTACTATTATATTATCTGGTCAAATTTATCCCTACAATCAGTAAACTTTTAAAAATTACCCCTCAGTCCATCAGGTGACCCAGAATCTCCCAAATTATTTTAGTTAAGTCACTGATTCTTCTTTTTGGTCCACTATTTTTGAAATAATTGGCATTTACCTACTTTTTGAATTGGAGAAAAATAGAGAGAAAGAAATATTAAATAACACAACAGTTAATAAACAAAGTATAGTAAATTCAAGAATCTAAATTAGGTAGTTTGTCTAAATTCTAAAAGTATTTACAACATCCCAATTTTAATGAATTCGTTGCACCAAATGTACGAAGACTTTGCAAGTATTAGTGATTGAAGTTGAAGTTCCTCAGAAATTTTACACTGTCAAATTCAACTTTGGTTTAATCAAATGCTTAGTCGATCGAACTCTACAATAACCAGACAATGACAAAATATATTTGAATATACATGTACATACATGATGATCAACTGCATATAATACACAATAAATAGACCCACTGAATTCTATGGTATGTATATGGTTGAAAAATAAATAAAATTTTAAACCAATTTCAAACCCATTATTTTTTTTGGTAATTAATTTTCTTTTGTATTAATCACCAAAGAAGAACCGTACAAATCCACAGTCAAGCTAACTCAACTGACTATCTCAAAGTTTAAAAGTAAACATAGCATACATATTTGCATATATCACTAAAGAATCTACTCTGTTCTTAGATAAAATTATTGTATATAACTCTTAGCTCGAGTAGCTACTCTAATATTGCAAATATATGCTATCTCTCTTGCAAGAACATCACTGCCTCGATACCTTTGGTCAAATATACGTGTGTTTCTTTCTATCCAAATTGCATATGAGGCCTCAACATATATCATTCTGGAGATGCTAGCCTTATTGGACTTCCCTTTTCCTTGCTTGATGATCCACTGAAGGTGTTGGTCCCAGTAGGTGGTGATCATTTGTACACTTTGAATCGACTTCATGACTTTTTTCCACAGTTCTATAGTATATGGACATTGCACAAAGATGTGCTCCCTTGATTCCTCCTAACCTTGACACATAACACATTGAGGGGTGACATTTAAACCCTAGTTGGCTAGCCTATCTTTAGTAGGTAGTCTTCCATGGAGCAACAGCCACATGGTGAAGACTGCCATTAGTCCGGCAGAGTTGTGAAAGACTAGACATTTCCAGCTAACTCTTGGTAAGTCTCCTAACAGCTGTAGGTATATTTGTCTGATAATGCTCTTGCAGTGATCATTTAAATTCTGTGTCTGTAGCATGGTTACCCTTGATCCAATTATTCTTCTCACCATCCAACTTGCTTGTTGTGGCAATGGCATATGTTGTAGCTGCTGTTGTTTGATATAGTATGCATTGATCCACCTTATCCATAGCTTGTCCTGTTTGTGTGCTAAATCCCAGTACGTTTTGGCAATTGCTGCTTTGTTCCACAGAGGAAGATTTATGAGATTTAGTCCACTAGCTGACTTAGGAGTACAAATCTTTTCCCATGCTACTAATGCCTTCCTGGTTATTGTGTTAGTTCCAGACCAAATGTAGCTTCTACAGAGTGCCTCTATCATTTTCAATACCTTAGCAGGCAAGATGAACAATTGAGCCCAGTAAGCTTGAATACCAAAAATAACAGATTGAACCAACTGCACACGACCATCATAGGATAGCTTTTTAGCAGTCCAGGAAGAGATCTTGGCTGTGATCTTTTCAATCACAGGCTGCCATTGTATGAGAGCTATTTTCTTTGTAGATAAAGGAATGCCTAGATATTTGAAGGGCAAGGATCCTTTTTCAAACCCCAGGTGAGCCAATATCTGCTCCTTCACATCTTGTTTCACTCCACCAAAATATACTGAACTTTTATCCAAATTAGCCTGCAAACCTGATGCTTCAGAGAACTGAGAGAAGTATTTGTATAATGTGACCACTGAGGATAGATTACCTTTAGCAAATAACAAGAGATCATCAGCAAAATTCATATGAGTTATGTCCAGTTTCCTACATATGAGGTGATACTGGAATGTAGGTTCCTTCTTAAGCTCATGTAGGGATCTGCTCAAGTACTCCATCACTATTGCAAGTAGGAAAAGAGGAATAGGATCTCCTTGTCTAAGACCCTTAGCAGCATTGAAAGGTTACGTGGTTTCTCCATTCACAAGGATAGTATAGTTAACTGTCTTGATGCATTCTATTATCCACTTGATAAACCTATCAGGATAACCAAGCTCCTCCATCACCTGTTGTAGGAAGATCCATTCTACTGAGTCATAAGCTTTTTGGAGATCAATCTTTATCATACACCTAGGAGATATCTGAGCTCTAGTGTAGGTTTGACTAGCTCATGAGCTGGGATGACATTGTCAGCAATCTTTCTACTAGAAATGAACCCTGCTTGAGCTTCACAAATGATGAATGGCATGACTTTCTGCAATCTAGAAGCAAGATCTTAGAGATCATCTTGTATAGGATTGAACAGCAGGCTATTGGTCTATATTCTTCGGCTGTGGTAGGCTTAGTCACTTTAGGAACTAATGTAACAGTGGTGCAGTTGATGGCCTTATAGATCTTTCCAGTTGAGAAGCACTCCTTTATAGCATTTGTGATCTGAGTGTTGATAATGTCCCATGCTTTTTTGTAGAAAACTGCATTAAATCCATCAATACCTGGAGCTTTATCATCACCAATTGCTTTAAGACTCTCAACAATCTCTTGAGTAGTTACCTCTGCACAGAGATCAACTCTTTGCTGATGAGACAGTGTAGGACCATTCTTCAATGGTAATTTCAAACCCATTATTACCAGAAGAGAAGTGGGTGCATTGGTAATAAAAATATTCCTAAATAATTTGTGTAGTCTTGTAACTTTAGCATTCACATTAATAATAATTTCTGAAAATAGTGGAGCAAGAAAAACAACAAGTGATTTAAATAAAAAGAGTTTGGGAGATTTTGGATTACTTAACAGATCAAGGGGTAATTTTTAAATGTTTGCTGATGATAGGGTATATTTGGCCAGATAGTATAACAGTAGGGGTAAATTTGGCAACAGAGGTTAAATATAGACAATATTTGAAAGTAAAGGGGTATATTTGGCCCTTTTTCCCTTTAGTTTTCGAAGATTAAAAGAATTTTTTTTAGTGAAAGCCCGTTTGCAGAAATAAGGGGCGTTTAAACTTGAAGCTGTCTCACTCTGACCTTATACTTGCCTAGCATCAGCCAATTAGGATTAAAGTCACAAGATTTACCAACAGTATAATCAACTGTTAAAACAAATAAAACCCATCTAGCAGCAATTAAAATTTCCCGGCGGTCAACACCGATGATGTAGCAAGTTTAGTAAGGCAAGAAAGCAGGGGTATCGCTTGTTAGAGATTGCTGGATACTGTGCTTAAATGAGCCATTCAAACAAGTACGCCATACCTTTTTACACAAGTTCACTCATAACAGGGAAAATTTATTCTTTTTCTTATTGAAAAGGGTTGGGGGTACTGAGGGGAGAATTGTACGTTCAACTGAAGACTCGACACAAATTGGAAAGATTATCAGTTTTATGTACCAATGTGTTGGAAATACCAATTGTGTCGTCCTGGGAAGTAGAAGACAACCGATTAAAACATAGGTGAATTAAAAAAAAAAAAAAAAAAAGGTCCAGTGGACAGGATTTTGGTAAATCAAATAAAATACTAATAAGTAAGCATAACCAGACTTTCCAAAACATGGGGGTGCCGTTCAGCTGCTTAAAATTGATGTAAGAAATATGAAGAATATATGGCACCAGAGTTGCTCTGGGAACAAACTGCTAATGTTGGAGTGGAGAACATAAAAGCCAGGGACAATTTTGAACGAATAATGAGAGGTCCAGCTTCTAACCAAGGAAACATCATCCATACATTTAAACATGGATTCTTGTTAAAGGCAACATGCTTTCACTTCCAAATGCATGAGGAGAGATTATGTCAATGCCAATTTTGCACTCCATGAAGCAACTGCTGTGACATGCTTGCCGCAACCCCGTAGTCACAAGGCAACTATGGACTATTATAGCTTGTACTAAAATGCTCAGCTTTCGCCAACTTGCATTGACCACCAATTTTAGGAACATCATCTAGAAGCAACATGAACTGGCTTAGCAAACAACTTCACGATATATGCCCCTCGGAAATTCAAAGGATGCTGATAGCATTAGGCATTATCACAAAGACCGCAACTATCATCATCTTATCAGAATGATGCAAATGAAAAAGACCGTCAAGCATGCAGGTAGCTAAAGAGAGTGTATTACAAGCATCCACAAAGTACTCATCTGATTAAAGTATCTATGTTAACCATCCCAAAAAAAAAGCTACTAGCAAAGAAGAGTTGAACAATAATAGCTTTGGATTGGTTAATCATAAAAAATTGCTCTTTCCTCTTCAGTCATATCATTGTCTAAATTTAATTGGTTAAGCATAAGAAATTGATCCTGCGGTCACGTCTTTGTCTAAGTATAATTTTAGCAAGAGAACCAAACATATTAGCAAAAGACGATGTCATACCTGAAATTTGCACACTTTCTCAAACGGAACTCGTCTCTTTCCCATTTTTGATTCACCTGTTCAAATAAACCCCTACTTATTGCTTAAAGGGATTTGAAACGCCGTTCAGCCTTTACTTACAAAAAAAAGGTGTTCAGCTTTTTGTCAAGGCATTTTTTATATATGGACCAACGATTAAAGTAGAGCAGATGTATTACAGAAAGAAATGAGAGTATGGTACATCTAGTTGGCATGTGCTCAGTTAATCTATGTTGCGTGGACTCTCCAAAATGTTGCCGCACCCGTGTCGGATCCTCCAAAAATACACTATTTTACACTACTTTTGAAGGATCCGACACGCACCCGGCAACATCTTTGGAAAGTCTGAGCAACATAGCAGTTAATCAGCCAATACAAAAGGCAAGGTTTACATGAGATACATGACATAGATGCTGGGAGGGAATGATTAATATGATAGTGTCATGTTTTTTGAAAGGAAAGGTATTCTTAATGAAACAATCAGCAGTTCAGCACTAAGGAGGAGCTCTAATCTTTACATAGTACAAGATGACCCCAAAAGCCAAAAACCTCCCTTCTATCAATGGAGGAAATTCCATGAAACAACAACATACCCAGTGTAATCCACAAGTGGGGTCCATGAATCCCAACATATCTGCCCCATTTACAAGTTGTTGTTTACACCCCTAAAGAAACGCAAAACTATACAGTTAAAGTTTACCTTCTAAATTAGTTGGCTTTGTATTCATAACATCTCAATTTCTCTTTCCAATCTGCCCATATACAAGCAAGGATGGTGGTCCATATTCTCCGCATGCCTTGATAGATGGTGCCATTTCTGAAGAGAAAAAACCAAAATAATTTGCAGTTGATAACCATAAACTGACATCTCCAAATGCTAGAATCTAAGGTTAAATATAATTGAACTCTCTCAAGAAGTTCAAAAGTCTTATGCAGAATTTCATGTGCAGAAAACTTATAAAATTGAGGTACATTTTAAATCCAAAAATAGGAGTTGAATATCTGACCTTCCAGCTTGTGGGAAACTGTTGAATTACAAGCAAATCAGGAAATTAACCATATCGAACGAGAAAGTTGCTTGACTGAATAAGGTGACAGCTTCCCAACAACTCTATTTCAGAAGATTTCTAGCAACTGTTTTCTGAAAGAAGTTTTCCAACTGTTTTCCTATGTTCACAATGGAATGAGAAACGTAGAGGAGTGGAAAGCAACATGTTGCAGCCCAGTTTTCTGCTGCTTGATGCACTCTAACATGCACATGACAAAAGTAGTGTAATCATTCCAGATGATAAATACTTTATCATGGCATGTGAGAAAAAGCAGTTTTCCCACTATTCGGAAAAAGGCCATCCTTGGCCATATCAGTAAGTACATTGAATACTGCATCCATGTTCCCTTCCTTGTAGTTTACATCAACAATACCTTTTGCTAGCTCACCATCAGCAAGTTTACAGGACCCCAATGTGCTTTGAATTACTTGATTTAATTCTTCACTCATCCCTTCTTTAAATAGTTCTTTCATCAGCACAATAAGACTAACTGTATGAGGAACAAATCCAAAACTCACCATTTCTCTATAAAGATGCAAGGCTCTATGTAAATTCCCACCCCTAGAATGACCATGTATAAGCAGGTTGTAAGCCGCTTCACTCGGCTTCTTGTCTTTTTGCAGCATCAACTCAAAAACTCTGTCCGCTTCATCTAACAAACCTTTCATGCAGAATCCTTTAATAAGATCTGTTGCACTCTTAAAATCAAGATCATTGCAACTTTCAATCAGCATATCATATGTGACACTACTAGGAACTGATTGCTCATACAACAACTTGAACAGAAGCTGCTTTGCTTCTCTAGTGCGAGCTTGTTTGTTGAGCCCGTTGATTAGGACACTGTAAGTGACGACATCAGGAAAGAAACCCTTATTTATCATTTCATTATGCAGGTTAAGAGCGCCTTTAATATCCCCTTCTAAACAGTATGCACCAATAAGTGTAGTATATGTAAACTTATCAGGTTGAATACCCACTCTCAACATCTCCTGGAAAAGCTCACGAGCTTCAGTCAAGCTTTGCTGCTCACAAAGACCTTGAATTAGGGATGAATAAGTAATAACATCAGGTGAAACCCCTTTCTCAACCATCTGCTGCTTAGCACAGAATGCCCTTTCCAAATTGTGGTTTCTACAAAACCCAGATATCATTGTACTATAAGTTACAACATCTGGGACCACCCCTCTCCGTTCCATCTCTTGAATTACACTTAAAGCATCTTCCATCCTGCCCAATGCACAATGCCCGTTAACTAAAGCATTATAAGTCACAATTGAAGGGGAAAAGCCACTTGAAATCATTTCATTCAAAAGTTTATAAGCCTCATTCATAAAACCCTGCTGAGAGAAGCCAACAATTAATGTCGTGTAAGTTCTCTCGTTAGGATATAATCCCCTAGCACGTAATTGATCAAAGAATTCCATCGCGCGATGCAAATTCCCAGTCTTGCACATGCTGTTGATCAAAGAAGTATAGGTCACAACATCTGGAGACAACCCATTCCTTAACATTTCCGAGTGCAAAACAAGTGCTTGATGAAAATTACCCTCTCTGCAATAGCCATTTACCAGAGTGTTATACGTCACTTCATCAGGAACTAATCCCTTTCCCCTCATATCTTCCAAAACCTCACTCGTCTCTTTCATCCTTCCTTCTCTGCATAACCCATTAATAATAGCATTATACGTGACCACACTTGGTTCCAAGTTCCTAACTTGCATTAGTTTCAAAAATTCAACTGCCTCATCAACCTTACCTATTTTACAGTAAGCACCGATTATTGTGTTATATGTTACAACACTAGGCAAGCAGCCACATTTTTCCATTTCATTTAAAAAAGCCAAACCCTTTTTCAAATCCCCTTTTCCACAAAGGCCCCGGATCATAATATTATAAGTATAAACATTGGGCGAAACCCCAGAATTAACCATATCATCATAAAACTTCTGAACTAATTCAAAAGACCCATTACACGAGACCCTGATCAATGCATCAAGAATGGAATTATAGGACAAAACAGTAAGCATAAACCCATTAGACTTGGCTAATTCAAAGATATTCATGGCATTATCAATCATTTTCAAATGAGAGTAACTTTTTACCATCAAGTCAAACACAGCAGAGCTAGACTTGCAAGAATGGTAAGTGTCCTTGAGACATGAAAAGACAAATTCACCCTTGTCATCGGGAGATTTCACAGCGACGTCCTCGGCGAGGGATTGGGCGGTCTTGTAGAGCTTGAAACGAGTGAGGATATGAATGGAAATGAACTTGCACTGAAGGTTGAAGAATTGGCGGTGACGTGCCCAGTTGATGAATCTTAGAACAAGGGGTTTATCAAATTGGGATTGGAAAAGTAGGGAAGAAGCATATTGAGGGGTGAATTGGGAAGATAAGGAGTTTAAGGGAATTGGGTCGTGGCCTTTGAGGATAGAAACTGCCCTGTTCACAAAAATGATATCGGAGGGAGAAGGGAATGGTGAGTCTAGGGTTTTTGGTTGGAGTTGCCGAGTTGAGCAATGGAGGGCCCTCCGGTAGGGTTTAACAAGTAGCATGTCGGAAAAATGGAGCAACGGCGACTGTTGTAACTTGTAACATGTACCAGTTACTTACAGGTAGAAGAAATAGCGATTACATTACAAAATCATATACTCCACTTTTTTAGAAAGGTCCCACCGCTGACATCCTAAAATAGAAAATAATTTTTTTTAACCGCTACATTATTTAGCGGCTATTAACTTGTTATAGCTATCATATACATAATTATTTCTATAGCTACTATTAAATTATTACGACAATGTATTAATGAATACAACAGCAAAAAGAGCCTACAAAGCAGGGTAGTCCAACTGTACGCGCATATATTCATGAATACAGTAACAACAATCACCTTAAAAATAGGTCTGTCCAACTCTCTAATAACGAAAATAATATTAATTAGCGTGATACACTCCTAATATAACTCAACAAAATCAATTCTAACATGCTTCATTATCAACCTAATTAATTAAAATGATTTTTCAGTGGTATATAACTGTTGTATTTAACTTTTGTATTTAGTGTATTTCAATATTATTTTTTTACTGTTGCATTCATTAGATTCAATGTTTCAGTGTACTTAAATGTATTTGTATTAACAATATTTTAGTTATTCCTAATACATGTTATTACTGTTGTATTCTGTATATTTTATTGGTTGTATTCACTGTTATTTCTATTTGTATTCAGTGTATTTTACTGTATTTTAAATTAAATATATTTATTGTTTATATTCTATTCTATTTTAATGTTTGTATTCAGTGTATTTCAATGTTGATATACAGTATGCATGAATACATGTATATTCAGTTGTATTAAAAAAATACAGACCTCCGAAATACATAAATACAGGCAAAAAAATATATTTATGCAAAAATACAATGTGTTTGAGTGAATTTGTACAAAATACAATGTATTTGTATCATTGTGTGTGACTAAATAGCAAAGAATGAGAAGAAAGTTCGTCGGAAATGGTATTTTCCGGTCAAGACTCCTTGTGTTGACTGTATGTGATCATAGATAGACGGAGCGCATTGCAAAAGACTCCTTGTGTTAACTGTATTGCAATTAGTCGATTGCTCAGCATTATGCCTCTCTGTTAGAAAGTGAAGGCACAGTATATCTTGAAATCACTGGTTTATAGACGAGAATATTCCCGCTACTTGATCTAATAGCGAGTGATCGTTGTCTTCCTTCTCATCCACACCTCCGAATATTCAATCGCAGTAACCCTAGAGGAATCGGCTTATTTTGCTCGAACAGAGAGAAGAAAGAGAGAGAAAGAAGAAAAATTATGAGATAGAATCGTATGTTAATTTAAAGAAAGAGAAAGAAAAAATATAAATAGCTTAGTATATACCATGAATACCTATTTTGCATATAAAATATAAAAGGTAGCTATAGAAAATAATATTTTAAAATGATTCTAGTTTATAATAAATATGGTGTATACCTTTGCTATATTTGGTAAAATTTTCATTTTTTAATAGGGAACATAGGACTTCAATAGACCCTGCAATTACCCTCGTTGGAATTTTTGAAAGAACCAATAATACTTACAGAAGCTACCTTATATAGTGTACTAAAATCCTGTTGTTTTAGTACAAGCAATTATTTTCAGAGTTTTTTCACCTTCTTTAGCCGAGGGTCTATCGGAAACAGTCTCTTTGTCCTTCCAGCCCTTCCAGAGTAGGGATAAGGCTGTGTACATGTACCCTCCCAAGACCCTACTTGTAAAATTTTACCCTCCCAAGACCCTACTTGTAAAATTTTACTGAGCGGTGGTTGTTGTAATTATTTTCAGAGTTCCCATCACAATACTCTTTTCAATCACCAACATCTGCTTTGTTTAAGTAGAGTTTGTCGACATGCAAAATTGTAGGACATGTTATCTTCAAGCTAGAAATTAACTGGCAAAATCCATGTCCATTAACTTCCCTTTGATTTTGGAATGTATTTTTTGACAAAGTCCATTAGTATTAAACAGACCTTTTGATACTTGGTTGGATGTTAAAATAGATAGGGTTGCTGCAATTTTCAGTTCAGATAATGAGAAAATTAACAGCCTTTAGTTTATGGAGTTGTATAATTAAGCACCAGAAACAGAAGCACCTTATCTGCTAGGGAAGAGGATACAATTTAACAGCCAGGCAACTTTAGCCTGGACTCAAATTGGACAACAAATAGAGAATACATCAACTAAATCATCCAATTCCAGCATTGAATCAACTAAGGTCCTATGTTTTCTATACTGAGCACCACATTCCCAATTTAAGTGGCATATCTAGAAGTAACTACATCTTGTTAATCCCTGTTGGCAGGAGTTGCAACTAGGACCATTCCCCTTAGTAGCAAACAACTGCAAATCCAATCAACAATCCGCACACCATCAGAAATCTTTACACTATACGGTATGGAAACAAAAGCTATCAATACGTGCTATAAAAGTGGAAACCGTGAATCAAAGATACTCCAGACAGTCCAATTCAGGGCAGGCCTCTTTGACGCTTCAGTGCAAGGTGGCAGATAACTGAAATGTTGAAGCGCTTGAAGGTTTATCTCAGCCACACTGTCTAGACATGGTACATCCAATATTCTCCAAAGCATGTTTCACATATTACTGCGCCTTTGCAAGTCCTCGAGTGGAAGGACCATGCAACAATTTCACAAATCCAAGAAAACTTAGCTTTCCATCTGTATGCCTTATCCAGTCATGTAGAACAGCATGAACTGGTACCGAAGGACCCAGTCCAAGTTCCTGAAAGCGAGATTTGATCACAATTTCAGGCAGTAAACATGTCATGAAACATACAGTAAGTACTCAGTACACTCAAAAAGTCATATACAATGCAAACGCGAGAGCAGAACATGGCATTTGTAAGGAAACTTACAGATGCAAGTTCTTCTATCATAATAGCCCTATTGCCATCCTTCTCAAAAATTTCATATGCACACCTAGCATGTTGTTCCCAGCGCTCAAGTGCCTCCAACTGATGAACACTTGAGGCAGCTGCGCAGAATTCTTCAAAATCCATCTTTCTATATTGAAGTGCATTTAGCTGTCAAAGATGACAAAAAAAAAAAACAGTTAATCATAAGCTACAAGCACAGAAGAAGCAGGGAAACACAAGTGACAGTTATGTCAGTACCGAGGCAAGAAAATCCGGAATGCGCGACTCCTTCATAGCATCTGTTCCATATTTCATCAGCGCCTACATGGCACAAAAAGAGCAAGGAGATAAGATCTTCAGGCTTCAGCAAAAACCGCGGAAGAGCTGAAGATGAGAGAGTTGAGATACTAACTGATCTTATATTTTCTAGTTTTATGCTGCCATTTTTGTCCGGCTCCAGCAATGCAAATTGCTCCTTCAGGTAGAACAATTCATCTGCTGTCAAAGTTTTCGACATTGCCTGCAAAGGCAAAAATATTATTAATATACCAAGTCAAATGTACCAAGACTATGATCATCAGAGCTGATAAAAGAGGTAGAATCACCATATCAATTTACATAAATCAATAGAACTTTAGAAAAACTCAGCATTAATCAGGTTAACTTCATCCCGAATACCTAGCGATTAAATTAAAGAGATCCCTTTTTCACCTTTCAGAGTTCTGGTAAATAGAGTACAACATAGAGCTTTATGAACCCACAATATGAGAAAGAAGCATAATATCATTTGCTTTTCTTCTCGGAACATCTAAACTAAACCATGTAAGAGCGATACACATCCTGAAAGTTATCCAAGTGAACTTATCGAGACTAACAGCTCAAGAGTGAAGAAACAAAATCAATAGGAACAAGTTACTTTAGCCCCGATCTCTTTTCCCATCGTGGAATAATAATCTATCAAGATAATTTCACAGGCTAAAAGGGATTTAGCAGATATATTCACCAGACTAGTTTATTTTATCCTAGAAAGATTTTAGTGTCGTCACGTTCAAGATGAATTAGCGCAACGGCTGCGTCCGAGACCCAAGAACTACCGACAAATTGTACAGCTTCATGAATGCAGAAGAATTATCATGTTATCTTCTTCGGTTATTCGTTTATTCCTCGACCTCTCTCCTTGGATAAGTATCTTATTTGTAATAATGGGCAGGTGCTTCATAGATCCTATGACTATCCTGTCACAATCTATGTAATTCATAGCTCGTTTGCCCAAGCTGCAAAAATCAGCTTATTTTGAGAAGTGCTTTTTTTCAAAAGTGCTTTTCTCAAAAGTACTTTTGGTGAGAAGCAATTTGTGTTTGCCTAATTAGTTTGAAAAGCACTTCTGAGCAGCAATTAGTGTTTGGCCAAGCTTAAAAAAACTGCTTCTACGTGTATTTTTCTCAAAAGTGCTTCTCAAAAAAGTGCTTTTGGAGAGAAGCTACTTTTTTCTGCTTCTCCAAAACTGCTTCTGCTTCTCCTCAAAAGCACTTTTTTTCCTTCCAAAAGCTTGGCCAAACACCTCAATTTTTGGCCAAAAGTGCTTTTGGCAAAAAAAAAGCACTTTTGGCCAAAAAGAAGCTTGGCCAAAAAGGCTATCAGACTCAAGGAAGTAGTTAACAGTAAAGATCTTAAAGTAAAACAAGTTACTTTGGCCTCAATCACTTTTCCAATCGTAGAATAATAATCTATCAAGATAATTTCACAGGCTAAAAGGGATTTAGCATATATATTCGCCACCACCACCACCAACAACCCAGTTGAATCCCACAAGTGGAGTCTAGGGAGGGTAGTGTGTACGCAGAAGGTAGAGAGGTTGTTTCAGATAGACCTTCAGCTTAGCAGATATATTCACCAGACTAGTTTATTTTATCCTAGTAAGACTTTATTGTCATCACTTTCAAGATGAATTAGGACAACAGCAAAAAGTCTTATAGTAAAACATCCCTGGAACTAAAAAAAAGTTTTATGAAAAAAAGGAATTGCTTTTCAGGAGAACAAGCACTGCCCCAAAATCAAAGCAACTTGTCCATTCCGATGATTAATACCTATGGCAATATAAGCTTTTTCTCACATATCCCTGATAACGGGTGAGACATATCTTTCTTTTTTATAAGTAATTGGTGAGACTTATCCGGTATCCTACACCGCATAA